AGTGGTAAAGAATCTGCCTGCCAATGCAAGAGACACAGGAGAATTGGGTTTGATCCCTAGGTCAGGAAGATCTGGAGGAGGAATTGGCAACTCACTTCAGTATTCTTGCTGGAAACTTCCATGGACAGAGGAGCCTGGAGGGCTGCAGTCCTTGGTGTCACAAAGAATCAAACATGACAACATGCACTCAAGCAGAATAGTACATAGAAGCAGCCATTATATATCCCAGTCCATTGCCAAATTATGTTTTCTTAAAACTGAATTATCTGATGGGAGTAGTCCAATTACAGGCTACTGTATTATGTAAGAAATAATCAGGTTTAAATTTATAACACAGTTCTTAAATTTGAATATACTTTTTAACTGTTACTGTAGGAGTTTTACAGTTTAAGCTCAAGTGTAGTTTTACAATGCTTAATGTCAAATAATTGTATCCATTTACTTATAAATTTTTATCATCTTAATAATGCATTTCAACTTGTGACATTTTATAACAAATATCACAAGTCTGATCCTTGTTTTTCTTGGTCATAAAGGTAAGGTATTTGACTAGGTAGTTCTTACTGTGAAACAAACATCAGAATGCATGAGTAGCTGAATACACTTATCACATAAACACTAATGATAGATAAGAGCATAAGCTGAGTCTTCCCAAAGAGTATCAGTTCCTCATAGCATTTCAATCTCCAGTCCTGTCTGTACAGGCCAAAGTGGGAGGCATCAGTTTTCTGGCTCCTATAATGCATTTTGTAAATTTAAGTAAATTTATTTTTATGTCACTGTAACTTTTCCAAAAGAAAAAAAAAGGAACAAAATATATGTAACAGAAATAGTTCAAACTAAAAAATGAAGTTGCTGATATATTATACGTACTAGTACATATGATTACACAAGCAATGTTACTGAGAAGCTACCCACAAAACTAGAAATCATAACACTTTCTAATCTAAATAAATCAGCATATACTAAAATGTATTAAATCTGCATAAAAATTCTCGATGGTGCCTTAAAATCATAAATTTTAAGGCAGTATGACATACAATGACCCTTTGTAAACAGTTTAGCTTACCTATTATATTGTCAAGGTATATTGTATTTATTTCCAATAATTGAAATTGCATTTTCTATCTGATTCTGAAGCAGTTTTGCAACTCAGCCCAAACTACTGGGATTCTTCAGGCCAACGTAAAGATGCTTGGACCTCTAGTTCTCCTAGCGGACACGTTTTCTGCTGTACTTTACTAACTCTACGGTGTGCTTGTGTAAATGAATGAAACACCCTGCGTGAAGCAAATGAGGAGCCCTGCTCTGCAGTTCTGTGGTGACCTCATTCGGCTTACGGCAAAACCCTGTTGGGGGTTTATACCGACCTGGCAATGCCGAAGACACCCAATGTCTCCTTTCGGAACCGATCACAAATGGACAAAGTGTGTGGATCGAACATTCTCTTTGACCATTTCACAGTTCCTTGGAAATGAGAAATACTAACCTATCTGTCAGATCATAGACTTCCAAGGGACTCAAAACCTATGCTGTTACTGTGTACTGTTACTTAGGTTCCAATCTTAGACTGGTAGTCAGGAAGCGCCTAGCCTCACTAAAAATCGAGAGTTCAGAAGCTAGATGAAACTCTAGGTCCAAGAGAATCTCTGAAGCTAAAGGTTACTCAGTTTGGAACTACAATGGGTTGTTTGTTTGTTTGTTTGTTTGTCTGTTTTTCCTTTGGTAACGCTGGCTCTTAGGAGACCAGAGGAGGCTCTTATACTGGAGTGGTGACGCTTGGAAGGAACACCTCAGCTTTATGTTCATACCAGTCTCACTGTGGTCAGGAATTTACTCAGGGTCGTGCACAGGAACTCAGGTGATGAATGTTTCCCCCAGCGGTCTTAGCTTGGGAGGCATTCCAGAAGGTTACTGATTGCACCCCCGGTGGCATCAGAGGCAAGCAAGTTTTCTCAATGGTGAGGAGCTGGACGACAGTCAGGGATGCCATCAGGTCTACCCCTGGTGCATCCCCACCCTGTCTCGGTGGTAGAACCTGGAGGGACGAGTACGGCGTCTGCGTCAGTAAAGGACAGACTAAGTCTGACCAAAAAAGGAAAGCTTTGATGTAAAGTCGGTCTACACCCCCACCTAGAGCAGGGACGGATGCCTCTGGTAGAAAGATGGTGCTGGTCGCTTTTTTATTCTTTTACAGATGGGAGTTATCAATTCCAGCCTCACTCCTTTAAACTGTATCCTGGAAAACTGGGATAGATTGATCCCCAGGGCTTAAAGAAGACACACCTGGCCTTCCTATGTGATACTGCATGTCTGCAGAACCCACTGGAGGACGGCGAACAGTGGCCAGTTGGAGGGTCTTTTAAGTATAATACTGCTTTACAAATAGACCGGTTCTGTAGAAAACAAGTAAAATGGGTAGAAGTAACATATGTGTTACCCTTTTTCTCTCTGTGAAATATGCCAGAGTTAAGTCCTAAGGGTATAGATTTGGGTGTGAAACCTTCAGCTCCCTCCTGTCCTCCTACTTTGCCACAGTGCCCAGGGCTCCCAACTGAACAAACTGAAAGCCAGAGAACCCCCAAGAAAGACTGCCCTGGATCGGGTGGAGAGGGAGGTGGGAGGGGGGACCGGGATGGGGAATACATGTAAATCCATGGCTAATTCATTTCAATGTATGACAAAAACTTCTGTAATGATGTAAAGTAATTAGCCTCCAACTAATAAAAATAAATGAAAAAAAAAAAAGAAAGATTGCCCTGGTCTCAGTAAAAACCCAAACTGAGATTCAAACTGTTCAAGTAGGGGTCCAAACAGCTCGTGTCTCAGTACGACCTCAGACTACGCTGGTTTCAATAGAAACTCAGATGATCAAAGTAAGAGATGAGAAGGACAGGAGACAAAGAGATCAAGAAAAGCAGGTTTGTCCAATCTTTCCCTGGGATCATAGGTGCAGAGCAGCCAGAGCGACTGAAGAAGAGACACACAGCTGTTGCCTCTTTATGAAATACCCACTGGGAGAAACAATCAGTCTATGAGAGTTAATAAGCCTTTTTCTTATCAGGAAACACAAAGAACCAAGGAGGATCTAGGAGACTATTTTGAGGACCCAGAAAAATATATTAGAGATTTTAAAGGTGTTACTCTGTTTTATGACCTTACTTGGAAGGATGTGATGTATATCTTGGGACAAATGCTCACTCCCGACTCAAAAAGTAGAGTTTTGGGAAAACTTGTTGCTTATGGAGATAAATGGCTTGGGAATGAATCAGTAGGGAAGAGGGGGACCAGATAGCTGCACTCCACACTGAAAATTAAGATGTCCCAACTATAGAACCAGATTGGGACTACAACACAGCTAAAGGAAGATGGGATCAGAGTCATTCTGTCAGATGTATTCTTGATGGACTCAGGCAGGTGCATGCTAAGCCTTTCAACCATGACAAATAGGCAAACATAGAACAGGAGGAGAAGGAATCTCCTGCTAAATTCCTAGATAGACTGAGAGAAACCCTTTCGCAGATTCACTGAGATTGACCCGAAAAGTGAAGAGAGAAAAAAGTGCTCTTAAAAGATAGACCACTCAGTTGGCTCCAGATATCTGTCATAAGCTATTAAAATGGGCATATGGACCAAATCAGTCTTTAATCTGTTACAACTGGCTCAGACAGTATATTATGGTAGGAAATATGAGGAGAAGAAAAAAAAGACAAAGGAACAGGTGGAAGCCCTCACAATGGCTGTGAGGACCATTCTTAAACAGCCTGAGAGAAATGCCCAGAGGGCCCCACGTGAAAAGGGATGGGCTTGCTATTACTGTGGAAAGGAGGGGCACCTCAAGCGGGATTGCCCTCAGGCATCCAAGCTGCCCCGGCTCCAGGTCTGGTCTGCAAGGGACCACACTGGAGGAGAGACTGCCCCCAGAGGCGTAGGATTCAGGGATCGGACTCTCAAGACAGTCGGGACTGAAGGTGCCCGGGGCTCCCCACACAAGCTCCCATTCTAATTACACCTGAGGAATCCCGGATATTAATAACTGTGTGGGACCAATCCATTGATTTCCTTTTAGATACTGCGGCAACTTACTCTGTGCTTACTGAAGCCCCTAGCCCACTTTCTTCCCAATACACTTCCGTAATGAGACTGTCTGGACAAGCCAAAAGGTATTATTTCACTTGTTCTTTAAGTTTTAACTGAGATTCTGTGCTAGTTTCACATGAGTTTCTGACTGTGCTAGAATCTCCCTCACTCCTTTTGGAGAGGGAAGGCTTCCTTGGTAGCTCAGACAGTAAAAGCATCTGACTACAATGCAGGAGACCTGGGTTCGATCCCTGGGTCGGAAAGATTCCCCTGGAGAAGGAAATAGCAACCCACTCCAGTATTCATGCCTGGAAAATCCCACGGACCGAGAAGCCTGCGGGCTACAGTCCACGGGGTCGCAAAGAGTCAGACACAAGTGAGCGACTTCGCTTCAGTTTACTGAACAAGGTCCATGCCTCTGTTTTCATGAATATGGAGCCCTCCCTTTCTCTCCCTTTAATTGAACAACATGTAAATCCTAGAGTGTGGGCTGATGGAAAATCTATGGGTCGAGCACAAAATGCTATTCCTGTAGTTGTCAAGCTCAAAGACCAGCACTTAGTTCCACAGAAGCAGCAGCATCCCCTGAAACCTGAGGTTAAAGAAGGGGTAAAACCCATCATAAAAATTTAAAGGAACAGAGACTATTAATTCCCTGTAACAGTCCATGCAACACTCCTATTTTGGGTATAAAGAAATCAAATGGTCGAGTCCCTCCAGGGCAGAAGCGTTCCCCAGCGGCTGCATCCCGGCGCTCAGCGCTCTCCGCCTGCCTGGGTCCCCAGCACGTGTAGTGCAACTCATCACTGGAACGCCTTTGCATTAGCTGCATCCTGGAAGAAGCTCTGTGATGTGTGGGTCATGAGTTTGCTGTGGCAGATTGGACTCTTAACAAGGAACAGCTAGATTTGAAGACGAGGATGGAAGAGCCAGCACCAGTGGAAGGCCGAAGTCAGCTCCCAAGCCCCCACTACAGCTCCCTGAGGAAAGCCATGGCAGCTGCTCTGGTCCTTGATGGGGAATCCACCATGGGGCACAGGAAAAAGAAGAAGAAAGAGTCCCGCCCGGAATCTATCATCATCTACCGGTCAGAGAGTGAGACCCTGGATGAAGAGCCTGGGGAATCAGAAGGTGGGGATCAGCCTAAAGAGGAGAAGGGAGAGGATTTCCTAGACTATCCTCTGGATGATGATTGCTGCCTAGAGAGAGTCTTCAGACTGCAGCATGGACAGGAAGAATCCATTCAGAGCCCGGCAGGCTCCTGGGTAGAAGAGATGAAGCTGGGAGTCTGGGGAGGCTAAGACAGCTAGATTACAGAGGAACAGAGAGAGAAGGGAGATACACAGGGTCAGAACTCCAGAGATCTCGAGAGTTCCCTCATATCTTCAACTGAGCACTGACCGGTATCTTCGAGAAAAGACACAATCTGAGGCTGGGCAAAGAACCAACCAAAATAAGCAGAAGGAACAAACCCTGACACTTGTCCAGCACTAGGCAAAAGTTAGTGTTCCAACCAGGAAAAAACTCTGACAAGGTATTAAGCAAAGTACCCAGAGGGTATGGCCTCAAGAGTGAAGCAAAATTAATCCTGGACTAAAGCCTGTTTAGGACAGTACTTAACAGAAAGCAAGCCTCTTTAAAGTATCAAACTGCTACCAAGTTAAGTACATCACAGAACAAAGTTCAGCAATGTTTGCAAGACTATAAAAATAACCATACAATAATAGTAACATAATTACCTAGGACCCAAGCACCCAAGATTAAACATCTTGTTGCTCCCCCCGTGTTCTGCAACACACACACAGGCGTATTGCTCTGAAGAAACAGTGTACTTAAGAAAAATAAGGAAGAGGCTGCAGAATACTAAACTTTTGGTCAAGAGATTGAAGGAAGCCAAAGAAAAACGGCAGGAACAGATTGCCAAGAGAGGGAGGCGGTCCTCTCTGGGAGCTTCCACTTCTGAGTCCAGTCAAAAATGAGATGTTCTAAGAGTAACAAATAAATAAGATCAGACATCAAGAAAGAAAAAAAAAAACAGCCTCCAACAAAGTAAAATTCAAATGTCTGGCATCCACCGAAAAACCACAAGGTACTCAAAGAAGCAAGGAAATACAACCCAGAAAGAGGAGAGAAGTGAATTAATAAAAAGAGACCCAGGAGTAACACCGACAACATAAATAAACCAGAGACACAGTGGAAAATATTAAAAGCAGCCAGAGAAAAAGAACACAAGACACACGAAAGACAGACTTCTTTTCAGAAACAATGCAAGACAAGACAAGTACTTGAAAGCACGAGGGGTGGGGAGAGGAGATGGGCGTTCTGGAACCTAGAACTCTTACCCAGTGAAAATAGATTTAAACTCCAGTTTCAGGAAGAATGAATGGTGCTGCTATCCACTAAAATGAAGTCGGAATTGTTTGATGTTATCAGTTGGGGTTTGAAACATGTACTGCTTGCCATTGTGTTTTCTCCTCCCTTAAATATATTAATGTTCCCACTTTTGTTAAACTATATATATATCTATTAAATACTTAAATAAATAATATAAAAAATAAGGGCAAAATAAAGATTTGTTCACACATACAAAAAAAAAAAAAAAGAAATCAAATGGTCAATGGAGACTAGATTTACAAATAATAAATGAGGCTGTGGTTCCTTTACACCCCATGGTGCCTAATCCTTTTACTCTATTGTCTGAAATTCCGAACTAGCCAAGTATTTCTCACTAGTTGATTTGAAAGACGCCTTCTGTTCAGTGCCTTTGGCGGAAGAAGTCAATCTCTATTTGCCTCTGAAGACCCTTCAAAGGACCTTCAGCCATCCTCTCAGGTAACCTAGACAGCTTTGCCCCAGGGATTTCGTGACAGTCCTCACTAATTTGGACAAAGTTTGTCACAGGATCTAGAAAACTTTAATAGCTCCAAAACAGTGGTGCTACAATATGTAGATGATATTTTGCTGTGTGCTAAGGCTGAGGAAGCTTGTCATGAGCCTCAGAAGACTTCTTAAAATTTCTGACAGGCTGAGGTTACAAGACATCAAGGAAAAAGGCTCAGCAATCTGCTAGATATCTGGGCCTAATCATATCAAAAGGGACTAGGGCCATAGGCCCAGAGAGAATTAAACCTATACTAAATCATCCCCTACCTATGACTTTAGGACTTTAGGACAACTGAGAGGATTTTTAGAAATCACAGGCTACTGTCACATTTGGATTCTGGGTTATGGAGAACTTGCCTGGCCTTTATATAAACTTATAGCTGAAACTCAGCAGGCCCAAACCAAGAAACTAGTTTGGTCTCCAGATACTCAAAAGGCTTTTCAGGTTCTTCAGATTGCTCTCCTGCAAGCTCCCGCGTTGAGCTTGCCCACAGGGTAAGAATTTAATTTGTTTGTCACTGAAAAAAAAGTATGGCCTTGAGAGTTTTGACACAACCCCAAGGGCCTCACCAGCAACCTATTGCTTATCTAAGCAGAGAATTAGATGTAATTTCACGTGGGTGGCCCCACTGCCTAAGAGTAATTGGGGCAGTGGATTTATTAGCACCCAAAGCTTTAAAAAAAATTAACGGACAAAACCTTACTGTACTGACTTCTTATGATGGGAGTGAAATCTTAAAAGTCTAAGGTTAATATTTAGATGACAGACAATAGGCTTTTTAAATGTCAGTCATTGTTGTTAAAAGGACCAGTAACTAAGCTTAAAGTTTGTGAAAATTCAAACCCTGCCACCTTCCTTCCTGAGAAGGAAAATGAAACACTTGATCATGATTGTTCCCAATTTCTAACTTTAAACTATACAGCTCGAGGGGATCTAATGGATACCCCATTAGACAATCCTGTCATAAAAATATTCACAGATGGCAGTTCTTTTGTTCGGGATGGAAAGTGTAAAGCAGGTTATGCCGTGGTGACTGCTGAACAAAATCTCTCCCCCAAGGAACCAGTGCTCAGTTAGCGGAGCTTGTGGCTCTGACCTGAGCTCTGGAGTTAAACAAAGGACAGTAGGTAAATATCTCCACTGATTCTAAATATGCTTATTTGACTTTGCATGCTCATGATACAATATGGAAAGAAAGGCAGGTTAAAACAGCAACAGGAAAACATATTAAACATTTTAAAGAGATTGAGAGAATTTTAACTGCTGTACATTGTCCTAAAGAAGTAGCTGTTATGTATTGCAAAGGACACGACAGAGATGGGAGTAAAGTAGCCAAAGGTAATCAGTTGGCTGACTGTCAAGCCAGAAAAGCAGCACTTTATGAAACCCCTTCACTGTAGACACCTTTGATCTGGACAGGTCCTATAGAACAGGAAAAACCACAATATACTGAGGAAAAATTTAAAAAGATATGCAGAAAGAAGAGCAAAGATTACTGATAAAAGAAGGTTAAAGTCTGAAGATGGACGATTAATAATTGCTGAAAATGCCCAGTGGAAAATTCTTAAAGGTTTACACCAGAGTTTTCATTTGGGTGCAGAGAGTACTTTCCAGATGGCTTCTCGTTTCTTTGAAGGTAAAAATATAATAAAAACTTTACAAATCATTATCAAAAGCTGTGAGGTTTGTCAAGAAAATAACCCAGGACTGAAAAGCTAACAAAATCTGGGTTACAATGGAGTGAAAAGTATCCTGGAGGAGACTGGAAAATTGATTTTTACTCATATGCCAAAAGCTAATAGATGTTCTTGCTTACATGTTTGGGTAGATACTTTTACTAGATAGATTGAGGCTTTTCACTGTCATAGGGAACAGGCTAAGGAGGTTATAAAGATTTTAATCCATAAATTATCCCCAGGTTTGGGCTGCCACTGAACCTTCAGAATGACAATGGCTCTGCCTTTAAAGCTGCAGTAACTCAGGGGGTATATAAAGCTCTAGAAATAAAACATCAGTTACACTGTTCCTAAAGACCCCAATCCTCAGAAATGGTTGAAAAAGCTAATGACATTATCAAAAGACATCTGCACAAGTTAACTGAAGAGACACAAGACAATTGGATTCAAGTCCTACCCATAGCTTTAATGAGGGCTCTGAATGCCCCCCAAAAAGAGAGACTGTCTCTATTTGAATGTATTTATGGAAGGCCTTTCTTACACACAGACATTGTTATAGACCCTAAAGCCTTACAATTAACTATGTAACTCAGCTCTCAGCTTTTCAACATACATTAACAAAACTCTGGGAGATGACTCCTGACCCAGCCTCTGAGACAAACAAGACTCTATTTGAGCCAGGAACCGAGGTCTTGATAAAAACATTGGGGTCTGGGACCCACCCCTTGAGCCCCTCTGGGAAGGCCCTTACCAGGTTATTCTTTCTTCTCCCACAGCTGTCAAAGTGTCAAAAATTGATTCATGGGTACATCACACTCGAGTTAAGAGGTGGCACCCTGACCAAAACTAAGTGACTTCATTTTATTTCTTTACTTTCTATGCTCTGACTTTATACTTTTCAGATGGGCCTGACAATCTATGTGAACCTACTTCTGCTGACTCCAGAAATCCTGAGTCTGCAGTTTGATCCTCAAGACAATGCCTTCCTTTCCTGGGCTCACTCCTACGCTGCATTCCACAATCGGTCTAACTGCTCAGTCTGAGGAACTCTCCCCTCTTCATCAGTAAAAAGATTCCCATGGTGGACATCTACACTTCAAGAAAAAGACTTTCTCCACGTCTGCAAATACCTTCAACAACAATCATATGTGATGCCTCTTCTTCATCTGATGACATTTAACAACCCTAAAATGGACTGGTGCAAAACTTTGTATCTTACTATGGACATAATGTGACTTTTAATTTTCATTATATATTGTCTTGGTTTAATGACTATTTCACTACACATAAGGCAAATAGGTCTAGATCTAATAGTTGTTTTTTTTTTTTTTTACCTGATGTTTATCAAATATAGGATGAGGTTGTATGTTTAACTCTGGGAAAAAGACATCTAATATCTACTGCCCCTATATGCTGAGAACAAATAGAGCCATCCCCAAAAGATAGCCAATAGCTTAATTACAATGATTGGAAACAATTGAGATTTTTGCCTCAGGAAATATACAACATAATCACTCCCATCTTCTCCAACCTCAGTTCAGGTCCTCCCTTTGCCTCGCCAGACACTAATTGGGACTGGATATCTCAGTCACGCTGGCTTGCTCCAAACGGGTCCTACTGGATATGTGACTCTTACCTACGGACATGGCCTCCCCCTGGTTGGACAGGGAGATGCACCCTGGGTCTAGCTTTTAGTCACGGCTTTATATTTTCAGAGCTTCCAGAAAAGCCTGCTAATTTA